GTACTGTCGGGTTCACAGTTCGTGTCCGTTCGTGGTGTATTCACCGTCACTACCAAGTTCGGGAAGTCCCAGACAACCTCCCGGTACGGCCTAAGCTGAGAACGGTGCGCCATCGCGCTTACGCTTCCAATTTGTGCCTGAGTCACTATCCTCTTCCTCCGACTCGTTTGTGCGCATCCGCTCGAGCAGCTCCGTGATGTGCCTATCCGCTGAAGGTCCTGGTCTATAGGAATCCACCATATTCACTGCGTCTCTGTGAAGGTTTTTCAGTTTAAAACACTTCTTCTTTATGTGACCCTTCATCCCGCAGAAATGGCATATCATCTCTGAATAATCCGGCCGCTGTCCCTGTCTAAATTTTTGTCCATATCGGAATTCACCGGACCCTGTTGTTGTGTTTCTTCCGTCACTCCTTTGTGGTGTCGTTTGGTAAGGCGTGTACCCTAGACGGTTTTTTACCGGTCCCCTGTTGTTGCCTGCCTCGTGACGCGCCCAATCGTAAGTCCTTTCTAATTTCCTTTGTGCATAGCCTTTACCAATGGCTCCTACCAGTCCTTCATCCTTATGACCGTCTGCTGTTCCGGCATTTGCTCTAGCAACCTCCCACGTGGCTATCAATTTCTCAGCATTTTTCAAAGTCAGTTTTTCCTCACTTAATAGCTTTTGTCTTAAAGGGTGTCCACGATGAAATTGCCACACACAAAATTGATTCGCAAAATTCGAGTTTTCATCCGATTGCCATCAAATTTTCAGGGATTGAGAAATAACTAATAAACTTCATTTTACCATTTTACTCGTATTTTATTTACAGTCCATACGCAAATGCCCGCACCTTGGCCTTAACCCCGGCCATAAGATTCTGCACAACCTGTGAATCAACCGTTTTTTGCATGTAAACCCATACTTTCTTCAGTTCCTCGACTGTCTTCACTACCTTAGGTCGTTTAAGAAGGTGCTGCTTCATAATCGCCCAGTACTTCTCGATGGGGCGGAGCTCCGGAGTGTTGGGAGGGTTGAACATTTTCGGCACGAAATTGACCTTATTGTCCGCATACCACTTCAGCACGTCCTTGGAGTAGTGGCATGAGGCCAAATCCGGCCAGAAGATTGTTGGGACGTTGTGGGCCTTCAGGAGAGGAAGCAGCCGCTTCTGGAGGCACTCTTTTATGCACACCTGTCCGTTCATCGTGGTCACGAAAGGTGCACTCCGCTTCCCGCACGTGCAGATGGCTTGCCAAACCAGGAATTTCTTCGCAAATTTGAACATCTTCTGAGTGCGGACATGCTCCGGAACGCTGAACTTATCCTTGGCCGTGAAAAACAGGTTGCCGAGGATCTGTTTGAAGTCGGCCTTCACATATGTTTCGTCGTTCATGATGCAGCATTCAACTTTCGTCAGCATGTTGAGGTACAACTTCCTGGCACGGGTTTTGGCGGACTTGTTCTGCTTCTCGTCGCGATTAGGGGCCTTTTGTACCTTGAACGTTCGAAGCCCAGCCTTAGTTTTGGCCTTCTGGACAAAACTTCTGCTTAGGTGCAGCTTCTTAGCCACATCCCTAACGGAGGCGTTCGGATTTCGGTTGAAGGCCCCAACTACGCGGTTGTGATTTTTGGTGTTGTACGGAATACTTTTTCCTTCACTTCTGGGCTTCCGATCGGTGGTCAACCGTTCCTCGAACCGCTTAATCACTCGCGACACCGTGGAATTCGCGATTCCCAACGTTTTAGCGATGGAACGATGCGAGAGATCCTTGTTCTCGTGATGAATGCGCAAGATTTTATCACGCACGAGCTGTTCTTTCGACTCCATTTCCGCGAGTTTTGATCACAGGACTTTAAAACTTGCAGGATGTAAATAATGCACTATGAACTAAATCCACCCAAATTTTCATTAAATTCTACCCAACGGTTAAAAAGTTAGAGCAATTTCATAGTGTGGCAATTTCATCGTGGACACCCTTTAGGCCTTTGTCCCTCATTCCCACTATAATACGGTCCAATATGGCCACTTCCTTAAAATTGTTAAAGCCGCAAAATTCAGCTTGAAGCTTGAGAGATAAAACAAAATCTTCCATAGTCTCATCTGTGTTTTGCATCCTCGTGTTAAATTTATAGCGCTGGACCAAATCTGGATCTATTTTGTCAAGACGACTTTTGAGCTTGGAAATCAAGTCATTAAAAGTCGCCTCCCCGCGGGATAAAGTAGCTTGATCTCTTCAAACATGATTGGCCCACTTAACGTGATGAAGTAAGCCATCTTGTCCTCATCTTTCACTTTATTTACCCGAAAAAAATATGTCAGCCGAGTGAACCAATCGCTGAAGGAAGCACCACGACGATATGGTTCAATCGTGAAAGCCACGTTAGAAGGACTCATGATTTATGGCAATATTCGAGGAGTTTTTGGATTAGAACACAATTTCAGGCACCAATCAAACGAATCCAAAATGTCCCCGCTAACCTTCAGCTGACCTCCACGTTCCGAGTATGCCACCAACGGAACGGGTTTGCAGAACTTCCTGCTGCGCACAAGTGGAGCTTTTCCACCACTAAAAGCCGTTGCTTCCTTCTTGATTAATTTAGCGGCCTCCGTATAATCACACTCTGTGATATGAACACTAGGGACAAACTAATTGGCTGCCGCCCGGAGCACTTTTCGCTGGACGGTTTTCCACCCTGCCTTCGATACCCGGAAAGTTACCGGCAAGTTTTACCTTCAGCGCAGTAACCCAAACGGAGGAACAATTCTGGTGTAGGTGGGCACTGTCGCCGTCGTTGATAGTGCACTGCCGTATGACAGCTACACACCTCGCACAACTAAGCTCCTTTTTTTTTTCTCCTAAAACTTCACTTTCACTTTTCGTGACCCCACTATTGCACGCGAATGTTCTTTTTTTTTTTGCTATCGTCGCCACTTTTATGTACGTCTAAACTAAGTAAAGGGCAAGTTAGGCGGACTGCGGAACCGAAATAAAAAGATCACCGTTTTTGTTGTACTTCCAGAGTAAACTGAGCCCAGCTCTATGTATTCAATGTGTTTTTATGCAGCTGGCCGTGCTGCCAGTTTAAGGTTTATAAACATAGTTTCGTCAATTGACTTTTGGTATCTCGTGAAATGTGCAGGTATACAACAACGTGTATAAAAATCTACCCAAAATCAGATAAGATTTGAATCCACACGTCAAATGAACAAACAGATGAAATTGTCTAGCAACCAAGAAAACAAACTATCCCTAGATACCTATTTCTTACGTATTAATATATCGGTACACACCAAATTTAAATCGCTGAACATCAGCAAAATTTCGCTGATTTTAGACCTGATGAAAGATCAGCAAACGTTCCAGCAAAATAATGCTGCTGAATTTTTCAGCAATTCCAACTTCTGTCAAAATGACAATCTTTTACAGAAAATCAGCAATATTTCTTTACAGATCTTTCAGCAATTAAAAGTTTTGACATTTGGCAGCATTTTGCTGATTAAACAATTAAATTCAGTAAATCGAATTTGTTTTCACTATATGAGCTTCCAGCTTCTGTAAATATACGAATAATAAAGATAAAATCGCCAGACTCGTTTCCAAGTATAGTTTATTAAATATAACCAGTGTCCTAGCCAGTGTCCTTACCTACATAATTTTATCTATTTGTAGTTTTTTTTTAGCTATTCCTCCTCCTGCGGCTTGAATGGTGGTGTACGAATGCAAAAATACTTGCGACTGTGATGCTAAACGTTTGACAGCTCTTTTACTGGGTATTAGTTTATGTTAGCTGATGTTTTCAGTAAAAATATCGTTTGATGTTTTTCAGTAAAGCATTGGATTGCTGGTCATGATCCAGCAATCCGTTTTACTGATATTGAAAACTTAAATTTGGTGTGATATCGATAGAAATACAAAGTTTAGAGTGGGATGCCCCTTGGACTAGACATCCAAAAACATAATTTTTTTTATTAACTTTCGAAAACTTCCGAAGCTTCAGGATTTGACCATTGAAAAGCCGATAAAATTTATTTTTAGATAGAGCCACATTTATTCAGACAAAATTGAAAGTATTAATATCCAAAATTTATAGGTTTTCCTAATAAAAGTGCAAACAACCATTATAAACTATACCATACCGTAGTTGCCTTGTATGCATCTTGGTTCGTTCGGGGTGAATTTTGCTCAACTTCCCTGAGGATAAAGTATCATTGTGCTTACCACGCTTCATACAAAGCCACGTTGGAACACCTAAGCCGGATTTCAAATTTTATTATTTATTCCGAGTGCTTGAAACGATCCAAAACTACCGATCTAATCAGGTTCCGCCGTTTTTGCGTAGGTGTTCTTGAACTGTATCCATCATCATTCAAAGAGACGTCCTCTGAGTGACAGATAAAGTTAAACTCCCAGCTTCCATCGCTGGCAGCGCTGTTGCTGCTGCCGCTGCTGGTCCTGCTAGTTCCATCCCAGAGCCAGAACCCACGGAGCCCCAAATGGCGAGAGCCACACAATGGACAATGGATACCTTCTCATTCTCCGCCAGGCGAGAAACCGGTTTTCCTTTATTTCACACCAGTTTATTCAATTTGGTCGAGGTGTCGTTTTTAACAGATTTCAAACGATTAATTCTCGCTCTCCGCTTTGGTCGCACGAAAAAGATAGCTTTTTCCTGCCGCCTCCACCCAGCCGATTCGCACGAGGTTCGTTCGTTCTTTCGTTCCGTTTTTGTCCGTTTCGTTTCGCCTTCTATTCATTGCAGCCTTTTGTATGGCGGGCGATCGATCGAGAGCCGTGAGTCCCGTTGTCCATATAGGTACCTATACAACACTTACAATCTCCAAATGGGACCCCGTGAGCATAAAAGAACCGAACCCGAAGCGGAAAGAAGAGAAATAATTTATACAAAAAGAAATTAAATTTATCTTCAAGCAGACAGTTCTCTATTAAACGGGAACGGATCGGACGAAGCGAAGAGGTGAATCCTTTGAATAATAAAAAAAAGAAACCAAAGCTGTATCTTCCCAAGCACACAAAAGCATATTTTTTTTTTATTCATGTTTTCTCTGAAAACGTTCATCGAAATGCTTCGCTTTTCTTTTTTCACACTTTTAAGACGACCTAACCAACAGACGGCACTCGGCCCTGGTGCTGCTCGTGGTGATTACTTCTTGTTGAGCGCATTTCGATTCGGATTTCCAAGTCCGGATCGATTGGCGGCTCGATTACCGAAGGTGTTTCTATTATTGGCGTTGGCATTATTGCGTCCCCCACCGGCACCACCTGGGCCACCACCGCGTCGATCACCCTGCTGGCCACCGCCGCCTCCACCCTGGCCGCGATTGCCACCCTTGTTCAGCTCCGTCCGATTCCGCGATTTGGCCTGCACGTCCTCCTTCACCATGTCGATCACCTCGTCCGGAATGCGCAGATACTTGATCGTACTGCCACGGATGTAACATTCGGGCATTCGCCAAAATTTATCGCCATCCTGTGTCGCGGGGTTAGCAGGGAAAAAAAATCAGAATTACGAATTAATTTATGTTCTTGAATGTTCGCTTCGCTACAGAGCGAGGGCCGTATTTGGCAACGGGGAGAATATCCATTTCAAACCCGAGCGCGCAAGCAACGTGCGATTGTTCTCACCTTTGATGTGCAGATGACCTCACGAAGATTGATGTTCATCCAGGTGTCGCAGCTTACCAAGTGACCGTTGTAGGTTTCGCCATTTTTGAGCTCCACCAACTGCGCGGGAGTGCGATTTGTTGACGACAAGGGGGTAAACAAGAAAAACCGTCAATTAGTAGTCTGTTCGTTCGTAAAATAAATACTGATTCGAATGTCGTAAGCAAGCACGGTTCTACCCTTTAATGGTATGATAATGGAAATGGCTGGTGGTAGCACATCTTTGGGAGGCTGTCTTGTCACCATTGGGGTTTTGGGAGACTTGAATGCGTTCGCAAGCGACAATCTCGTCTTTGTTGCTACACTGATAAAACAGCAAAGATTTCATTTATATGATTTCACACATAACTTGCATAAAACGACCCACACATAAATTTTAAAACCGACACATGAACGTCATGTGTCTTACTTATGCCAACTATGTGTGCCCCAAATGAACAGCATGTTTAATGATACATAGCAAAAAACTATGTGTGAGCACACATAAAACTAATATACACTCGATAGAGAATGGAATTTCAAAATGAAGACCAAAAACAAGTTTGTGAATGTTTAGTATTTTGAGATTCCGGAAGAACAATTGCATAATTATAAGGTAAATATGAGGAAAAATGTTGAAACGTATATTTAACTGTAATATTTTAAGAACCAGATGAAATCTGTTCCTCGATCTTAACTGGCTGCTGCAGCGAGAGATAGAAGAGCTGCCCGGTTAAAACATGGATCCGACGCACTGCAGAAAAACCCACACTAATAAAATTTTAAACTTAATGTTTATTTTGTCAGTGCACATAATTTTTATAAGATATTCAAAACATTATGTTTAGATGTGTAAACATATACTTCATAATAAACCCCTTACCTACTATAAGATAGCCCATAACACGTATATGCGTGACAAATTTTATTTATATGTGTGCTGCCATAAAAATTATGGTTCTAATCTTATAGATGAAGGTTATGTGTTTTCACACATAATGTTTAAGTGATTCAATTCAGTGCACACTATCAATATGGCGTCAGACAATAAATTTGCACATATTTTGCTAAATCGTCTCCATATTCCAGCAAAACTTGAGCATTCTCAAAGGTAAATAATTGTTTATCTCATTTATCTTTAACTATTTACCAACTATTATTTTCGATTGTTTTCAGCGCAAAAAAATCACAGGAACATTAACCAACAGCTCCCATGATGAGCTTGGAGAAGCTTTAAAATCAGAGGAAACCGAATGGAATAACATGGAATAACCATTCAACGACGAAATCTTCCGTCGGCTAACTAAATGGCGCAATGCAAACGTGAGTAAGTGCGATAAAAATGATTTGTTTGAAATAACTTTTTTTTTTGTGAATTCTACACAGAGATTCTTCCTGCTGGACGTGCAGGAGGAGGACGCGCAGGAAGAGGACGTAGAGACTCAAGGTGGCGATCTATACGCTAGACACTCAGATGAGCCCTCGGACTGACATCGGAGGACTCAAACCAATAACGCCTTCACGCGGGAATATACAATCCACTGACGTCAGTGACGGTGTAAAATCTTCAAGAAAATACATAACTTACCAGAGCCTGTATTGTTATTATTTTGTTTATATTTTTAGCACATAAAATATATGAACTTGACACGTAAACGTTATTGTTCGTACCATGACTTTCATTTGAATTAGACACACAATCTTTATGTTCTACCGAGAAATAAATGTTCTAAACTTCACACATAAATTCTATTTACTAAAGCAAATGAAATTCATTTTTTTTATTTCATTGAATTTATTGGTGGGAAACCGAGTGGGAAACCAAATAATTTTTATGTTCCCCAAACATATTTTTTATTTGCGAAGTCTAACTGCAAAAAACTATGTAGTTTCACACATAAAAGGTATACGGAAATTCACCTCGGTGCACCAGAATTGGATCGGTGACGAGCGGTGCACTTGGAAAGGGAATCGACAAGCCGAATATTTGATTTGTCGCAACCTCGGTCGCAACACCATAAGCACTGTGCGATCAGTAGAAAAAGTGCAGAGGCTGAAACGGAAGATTACTGAAAATGCTGAACTAGCTATCAACTGGAACTCAGCACATAATGAAGCGATTGGCAATACCCGAACACGAAAGCATCCAGAGCTCAAATCATGAAGAACGATAATGTTTTCAATTCGGTGTATGTATTAATTTATTGGCTGTTCCGATCAACATGAAATATATGGAGAAGCTTTGAATTTAGAGTATTATATCATTCTGGTTAAAAATTAAATCCAACAATTTCAAAATAATAAACAATAAAAAGTATCAACAGACAAATGAAATCTATTCATCACTACCCATAATGCCCATGTGTGATCACACATAAAATTCATTGAATGTCGATTGGAAGCAATTTATGTGCCTCACACATAAATTTCATTTGTGCAATCACATTGCAAAAATCTATGTGTGTGGCACATAAACGTTATATGCACAATTTTCGCAGTGTAGGTTATTGTTGGCTTGCTTGAGAATACTATTTATCTGTCCTTTTCCTACCACGGTTCTTGTTTTCAGTTTTTAGAGCTAAATCAGATGCTTTTTTTTTAACTCTTTATTTGTTCCAAATTCTAAATAGATTACATTTCATTTTAACCTAGGTGCTCCAGTTACTACAGGAACTTACCAGCCTTAATTAATCATGTTTTGTTGTTTTTGACATCATCCACATCCAGAGGGCCAGTCACTTTCGAATGTATGGGAATGGTAGGAAACCATTTGGAAATGCATGAAAATTTTCAGTTTTTATTCTTTATCGTCTTTATGGGCAGTTTTAGATGCGCAAAAATTGCTTGTTTATTTGTTTCCTTGTGTGAAAGCATGTTAAGTCACAAATCGTGGATTTTCTGATATTCTCCATACTGCAAAAATGATTTTCCTACCACTGAAGGGGCGACATCTGTCGAATCTTCAGTATAGCTACTACTCAAATCACATAATTATTTGTTATGATATATATCTAAGTGTTTTTACATTGTTCCTGCCTTGGCAATTCAGTATTTTAAACAGATTTTTTAAACCTGCATGTCAGTATAATAATTGAAATCTTAAAACTAAAAGCTAAAACTTAATCTTATCGAAGTATAAAGGGAATTAATCGTTCCAATTGAGGATTGCAATGATTTTTGCCTGAAGTTATTAATTATTTTGTTGGACATTTGTTCTAAAGTCTCATCATTCGAAATTCTATGTACTTCGGTAGTACTGTACCAGGGAGGCAACTTCAAAATCATTTTCAGAACTTTATTCTGAATCCTTTGAAGTGCTTTTTTCCTGGTAGTGCAACAACAAGACCATATTGGCACAGCGTAAAGCATGGCCGGTCTATAAACTTGTTTAAATATTAGAAGTTTATTCGTCAGGCAAAGTTTGGATTTCCTGTTTATAAGAGGATACAAACATTTTATATATTTGTTCTATTTGGCTTGAATGCCCTCAATGTGATCTTTAAAAGTTAATTTTTGGTCAAGTATGAATCCAAGATATTTCACTTGGTTTGACCAGGAAATTGGAATTCCGTTCATAGTGACTATGTGACTACTACTAGGTTTCAAAAAGGAAGCTCTGGGCTTATGTGGAAATATTATAAGTTGAGTTTTGGAAGCGTTGGGAGAAATCTTCCATTTTTGTAAATAAGAAGAGAAAATATCTAAACTTTTCTGAAGTCTGCTGCAAATAACACGAAGACTTCTTCCTTTAGCGGAAATGCCTGTGTCATCAGCGAACAAAGATTTGTGGCAACCCTGAGGCAAATCAGGGAGGTCCGAAGTGAAAATGTTATACAATATAGGCCCAAGAATGCTACCCTGAGGAACTCCTGCTCTAACAGGTAGTCGATTAGATTTGGAATTTTGATAATTTACCTGTAGAGTTCTGTCAGTTAAATAATTTTGAATTAATTTCATAACATAAAGTGGAAAATTAAACTTTTTCTATTTAGCAATCAAACCTTCATGCCAAACACTATTGAATGCTTTTGACGTTGGTTTACGTCTTTCGGCAACATATTGGGGGTGCAATTTAAAAAAACCAAAATCGACCGCATGACGAAAATAGGTCAGGTTTTGACCACATATAACTCTGTCAATAGCAGATGAATTTTAATTCTAAACAAGCCAAAGAATTGGGAATTTATCTAGCAATCTGCGAAATTGAACATTTTATTAATTTTCAATAGGTCACTATTGAAAAATACACAAATGTCCAACTGTTGCAATGGCAGGGCTGTTACAAGATTTTCTAAATTTGATCCGCGAAATCCGCGATTTTTGAAAAGAAATCCGCGACTTCAAATACTAATCCGCGCCAAAAAAAAATTTCATTGCCTAAAAATAGCATTTGTATACTACTACATGGCATTTCAAGCTTATAGCATATTAGATTTTTGCCTGCTTTCAACTTAGTATTCTTTGAAGTACTTTCACATTTTAATTGAGAGCTTTCTATGCCCGTACCATCCTATGCCCAAGAAAGTAGAGAATTTTTCCAAGCCGAAAAATTAAAAGACCGGACGTGAATCGAAATCAGTCGCCTCCAGCATGGACTTGCTTTGTAGCTGCGCTTTTACCGACTGAGCTAAAGGAGTTTCGTTTGTAACCTTTATTTTTTTTTAAATTACATTGTATCATCTTCAGTTATTTATGTATAGTATAAATTCTGAGTAATTAGTGAACATAATAAAACACCCTTACATTATGAGATTCTATTGAATAATACCGGCCTAGTTTTGATGAAACATTATTTAAAAAAAATACATTTTCATTTGAAATGCAAATTTTCTTGACGTATTTTGCTGTCCTAAATTTTTTTTTTTTTTTTATTAATTACTTTATTTGTACAGGCTCAATCGAATAAACTTTACAGAGCCGAGTTATCATTTTTGTTATACATTATTGATTTCTTATATTTAAAGTTAAAGGAGCTGGACCGGATACTCGCGGTTGTCTCGAGGTTAGTGGGGATTTACAATTTTTTTTTTGATGGGAAAAGGGAGAGGGAGGTTTGAAATGTGGTTTACGATACAAATATT